CTCTAAAGCCCCTGGTGCAAAATAAAAGCAAAGCTGGAAAGGTGAGACTTGGGATTTCCCTTCAGCCCTGGGGACACGGCTTGAGGGCCCAGCAGCCCTAACCTGAAATCCAAAAGCCCAAATCTGCAGGGTTTTGGAGCACAACCTAAGGTCCGCCATGGAGGAACCATGGCTGACCTCCTGGCAGGGGTTATCCGGTGAGAGCACAGGTGCAGAGGTGGGCCTGGGGTGTGCAGGGAAACACAAAGCCGGGGCTTGTTTAGGTTTGTGTCCTCCTAGCCCCGAGGAATCTCACGATGTAAATGCAGATGCTCCAAATCCGAACTCCCAGACATCTCTCTTCCCCAGCGTCTGGGATACGGGCCACCCAGCCGGAAGTGGCTTTCAGGTAAGGTGGTGTTAATGGAAATCCTCTACCCCCGTTTGGGGAGGGAGCCCCTGAAAAGCTCTCCAGTTCCTTAGCAAGGAATGCGAGGATCCGGGTGAAAACGGGAGATGGCTGCAGAGGGGAACCGTGGCCACCGCAGCGCTTTGCGCTCCTGAGCAGGAGGAGCAGGGTGGGGTAGAGGAGCCCTTTGAAGTTCTGTAGTTCAGCCTGCTCCGTGCTGGCTCCTGGGCAGAGCTGGGGACGGCACCCTAGCCTGGGAATTAATCCTCCTGCGGCCAGCCCTGTCCTGCTAGACTCCTGGAAAAGGCGTTTGACAACTACGAAAAACACAGAAACTCGCCAACATTCTGAGGGGCTCAGAACTCCGCGGAAAATGCATTCCAGGCTCCCGGTGCGCTGGACAGGCTGGAACTCTGCAACGCCTAGGAGGGAAGCCCAGGAGCCGGCACAAACCAATTTTTCAGAGAGGGGGCCACCTCCCTTCGTCCCACCCCTGCGCCCCTGCGCGCGCGCGCGGGACCTGCCCGGGCCGCCCCCACCCTTGTGGCCGGGGGGAATTCTGGCCAAGGGGCCGCCCTGGCCTCGGCCCTCCCCCACGTCCGGCTGGACAATAAAGCGCCTGGGCACCACGGCTCAGCCCAACGCAGCCACCAACAACCCAGTTCTGCGCGTGGCAGGAGACCCGAGCCCTCACACAGCAGCTCCACCAGCCGCGTCCGGCCTCATAGGCGAGCGCACTGCGCCACCTGCACCACCCGAAGGCGTCCCCTTGGCACGCGGGCGCCGAGAGCCAAAATGCGCGGAGCTGTCCTCCACCCACTGTTCCTGTCTTTGCTGCACCTGGCCCTGCCGCGCTGGCTGGGGGCCGGCGCCCAGGCCACCCCACAAGGTAAGTTTGCTTGGGAGAAAATGACCAGCCTCTCCACCGCTACTCGCCAGAGCTGAGTTAGGATCTAGAAAGATCTGAAGTTCTGTGCTTGAGGGTGTGGGTGCGAACTTGACTTTGAGTCAAATCAGAGTCGCGGGGTTCGCATCCAGGCTTGCCGCACGCAGGAACCCTGCGGCCGGCCTCGCGCTTAGGGTGCTTGCTGAGTTCTGTAGGGGACCGTTCCTTGGACCCTTCCCCAGGGCGCATTGGTGCACACTCCAAGACTGGCGGGCGATGCCTTGTGTGCTCTGCCTTGCCAGCACCTCTCGGTTTATGAGGATAAGGAAAGGCCAAGAAACTGGCTTTTCTCCCCCGTCCCCAAGAGAAAGGGGGAAATTCGGTACATTGAAAAGCTTAAAACGTTCTTAAAGCTTAAAAGTTCTTAAAACGCTGAGTGATGTGGCTGAGAAGAGCAGAAGGTAGTCAGGAGGCGCTGCAGGCTAAACAAATGTCTGCTCAAGACCCAAAAGTAATAAATGATTTCAGTGAGCCCTTAGGGCTGTCCCTGGCAGTGCACTGGCCACCGTGCTGAGCGCTGAGCTTGGTGCCTAAGGAAATGGGCTGAGATGTACAGCTGGGAGTTGAGAACGCCCCCTCCTGAAGCTAGGACACAAGGATGCCCCCAAGTGGCCCCAGTCCTTCACTGAGCCTTGGGCGGATTTCACGGCTCCCCTGCGCTGCGGACCAGGCAGCTGCAGCTGTGGTTTCTGGGGCCGGTGTGCAGCTGGCTTGTCCGCCTGGCTTGAAATGCCTGACATGTCGGAGTGAGTGGAATGTATTCTGCTCCGAGCTTCTGGAAAAGGTGGGACAGCAATCCGTCTCTAGCACACTCCATGCGTATTCCCCGCCGCGCAGGATGGCATGGTAGTCTGCCAGGGACACTGTTCTCGTGGACACAGGCCGTGATGGTGGGACCCTGGCACGGATTCCACTTCTCATCGGACAGGTCAGACGGTTTCATGGTGGCCGAAACTCAGGCTCTATGAGCAAATGACCTGGTTAATGTTGTCGCTGCAGTTCAATCGGGGTTTTCCTAGATTCATCGGTTGTGTTCAGTCTGCAGATGAGCAAACTACCATTTCCTGTGCTTGCACCACTAGTCTTAAATTCACCTGCTAGTCATGTGTACGCCACCTTGTCCGTGGCAGTAATTCCTTCACCAGAGCAGGGCAGGGCAGGGGATGTTGGTGCTTAGATCCCGCTGATCGCTGGCAAACGGTAGCATCTTGTTTGCCTCTCAAAACACCCCCTTTACTCCTAAGCCCAACACTGCTTAAGCCAGTGGATTGGGGAAACCATGTGTCAGTTTAGCCAAGTTCAGCCTCAGACTTTCAGGATCAAAGCAAGACCCAGGTGCACCTGAGCTGGTGCTCAACATGATCCCCCTGCCCGTGCTCAGGCCTCTTTTCCCTAAAATGGTGAAATCTGTGATTCTCTGGAAAATCAGTCAGCTTCCCATTGCAGGGACAGGGCAGCAGGCAGTCTCACTGGCGAGGGGTGGAAGGCGCCTGGGCACTGGGCCTCCCCACATGGTTGGCGTCAACCTTGTTCCTGTGTGGGGTTGCCCGGTGCGGGTGGAGTCTTTAAAGGAGAATCATGAAGAGTTTTCCCTCTTGTCTTAGACCTTACATTCATGGTTTGCCCGTTGCCAAAGCAGCACCTGCTCACTGGAGAAATGAAAGTGGAAACACATGCCAAAAACAAAAAACACACACACACAAAACGTTTTATAGTTCAGAGATAGCCTCCACTAATGTTCACATGCTGCTTTATCTGACATTCCAAATCTTTATCTCTGTAAATTATATTGAGAGAGATCCCAATCATGGTCGTATCACATGTCTTGTTTCAACAGTGAAGACATTATGAACCCCTGTCTATGTGTAAGCTGTGAAGGGGACATTTGGTCTGTTTTAGAAGTAGCGTACCTGCACCTGAGGCTTTTTAGGCAGCCAGGCAGCTGGGGCCAGCTCAGCTGGAGCCAATTCCTGGAGATTGTAACCCTGCAGTTAGGAGCTGGGGGCGGACTCCATGAACTGCAAGGCGTCCCTGCTGCGCTGGTCCTTGGAGCATGGGCCTCTGGGGGTCCGGGGTGAAGCCTCGGTTTTGCTGCCCTTCTGGAGTTCCTCCTTTGAGCAGACGGCTGGGGCTGCCTGTCACGGTGAGTAGAATAGGCGGCTGTGGTCAACCAGCCTCTTGGGGGAAGGGCCAGAGGGGTTTCATGGAGCGGTAACACAGGGCCTCTAAGAAGCTTCCACTGTCTCGATGCAGTCACTAAGTACTGAACCACTGTGGTGCCCCTGTGTGGCTCCGCACCAAACCAAGCACCCCACGACCTCTGCCACACCCTTGTTCTTGCTAAGGTGGCTTAGAGCTCCGTATTGCCCACTCCCCCCACCCCCCGCCCAAAAAATCGTGAGCTCTTCACGGGATTCCTTCCAAAGCAGAGATCTGGAGTGGCCGACGGTGTAGGAATCCTTGTCCGGGAGTCACTGACCGTATTAGCCGTTACCTCCTTCGGGTGAGTTCCAGGAGGTAGAATTCCTAGATTGGAGAGCATGTGTGTTTCAGGGCCTCTGCTAGATGTTTATCCTACTGGCCAGCACCGTGGTGGTGTACGCTAAGCCTCCACCTGCAGTGTGTGTATTTAAATCCCACCTGCTTCACTTTCCATCCAGCTCCCTGCTAATGGCCTGGGAAAGAGCGGGGAATCCCCCAAGTTCTTGGGCTCCTGTACCCACATGGGGTCCTGGAAGAAGCTCCTGGTCTGGACCCAACCCAGCACTGGCTGTTGAGGCCATTTGGAGAGTGAGACAGCAGATGGAAGATCTCTCTCTCTCTCTTTTTCTCTCTCTACTTCCAGTCTCTCTTTTTTAAAAAAGTGTTTATTCTAGTGTAAATTTTACCAGGCCTGCTTCCTGGTCACTAGTGGGGATAAGGAAGGGGACATTAGTATAAATGCTATTTTCAATTTCACAGCAAAAATGATAGTTTACTTTCTGAAGGATTTGTATGAAAGGCAGAGAGAGAGAGCTTCTTTCCTCTGGCTCAGTCCCCAGGTGCCTGCAGCAGCCAGCACTGGGCCAGACCCCAGCAGGGGCCAGCAGCTCCTTCTTAGTCTCCCACAGGAGTACTGGGAGCCCAAGCCCTTGGGCCACTTCCACTGCCCTCCTAGGTACATTAGCAGGGAGCTGGCTCAGAGTGGGACAACCAGGATCTGTTCACTGGGGGGTGCCACTGGCTCTGGTCAGGAGAGTGCATAACGAACCCCAGAGCTAAGGCTCACAGGTTGGGGTCCTAGGATCTCCGGAGCCACTGCTCTCAGTCCAATTTTAGCTTGGCAAGTATCAACTTCTAAGCGTTTGTCACCCTTGGGGACCTCCAGGGTGCATATGCAGGCCCCTGGGGTCACAGGGTCAGCTCACACAACTTTGGAGATCGTGTTTAAAAAGCACAGTGAAGCCTTCTTCCCCAAAGCTGGCTCTTGCACTGACCCTGTGGCCCTTGCCTGCAGTCTTTGACCTCGTGCCATTCTTGTCTGGTGAGAGACTGCCGCCAGGCGTACAACAACTGCTGGCCGACCCCGCACTGCCCGACCTCTACATCCTTGCCACCTTCAGGCTGCAGACCAAGAGTGCCACCACTGTCCTTGGCCTCTACTCGGCGAGCGATGGCAGCAGGTACTTCGAGTTCACCGTCATGGGACGCCTGAACAAAGGTGAGTGTGTCAGCAGGAGAGGGGGTTTCCTCCTGCCATTCTTCCCTAGCTTCCTGTGCCGAACCCCCTGCTCTGCCTTGGCACCTACGGGGTGAAGGGGGTGGGTGGCAGGTGTGCTCCTGGCCCAGATGCCTCTGCATTGTCCTTACAAGGTGCCCACAGGCACATCAGGCCACTGTCTTAGCTCAGGCTGTGTGACAAACACCGGAGGCTGGGGGAAAGGCCCCCTCTGGCAGGCTGTGTCCCTGGTGAGGCCAGTTTGTCACCTTCTCACGGCCCCTTCCTGCATCGCCCTATCTGTCCCTCACAGGGCTGTCCCCTCAGGGCCTTATGTTCACCCCATGACTTCTTGGAGGCGTCACTCTGAATGCCACCATTGCAAAGATCAGGTCTCATGCAACCCGGTGGGGCAGGCAGCACATGCGCACCCCACCGGTGATGTCCACCCATGCCGTCCTGGTGTTCTCTCAGAAGCTCATGTCCCGGAGACCCGACCCCTAACCCTGTGCCCTCCTCACTGCTTTGACAGACAGATGTGCCTTGCGCAGGACTGCAGAATGATCAGGTTTCCTGTGCACCTGTTTGCCCCTGGCTCATGCTCACACATGCACACTCCAGCTGCTCAGCCAAGCCCTCTGCTAGACACTGTTGCAGGTCAGGGTGAGTTCGATGAGCATTGAGAAGTGACCTGGAAGAGAGAGATCTCCTTTGCATCCCCCTCCCCTGCCCTGTGGATTCCCCCTTTGCTTCCCAACCCCCAGCCTCTGTTCCGTGGCCCAAAGCAGCACCTGCTCCAGTTCGAGGCTTGGGCTGCGCATGCATCCAGTAAGACAGAAGGACCACTCGTCCTGGCAGTCTCAGCTCATCCTGGTTTGTTCCTCTCAGCCATGTGACACCTGTTGAGCCTGCACTCTTCACTGAGCGCCTGGGTCAGCAGGCTTTAGGGGCTGGAAGGCTCTCACCAGCTGGGCCGGTCCGAAACCAGGGGCTCCTTCTGTCTCTCATGCAGGTGCCAGGGCCCATGCACTTGGGCCATCTTCTGCTTTCCCCAGGCACATCAGCAGGAAGCTGTAACAGAGTGGAGTCCATAGAGCACTGGGACCCATGTGAGATGCTGACAGTGCAGGTGGCAGCTCAACCTTCTATGCCATGGCACTAGCTCCTCGCCCATTGCTTTCAAATCAAGTTCCAGTCTTCCGTCCTTCCTCCTACCCTTGCCTGCCCCTGGATCTGCCTCAGAGGGACCCCATGTAACAGGAGCCCTGGATACTGAGCTGCACCTCCTGGCTTTTAGGTCAGGATCACAGAGGAACCCTGGATATGTCATGGTCAGCAGGTGCCATGGCCGTTCCCAGCCTTTTCCTATCTTCTGCCCAGATGAATGATTCTACCCATCTCTACGCCTTAAACCTGCTGACCCTTCTGTCTGAATCTGAGCATCTGTTGTGTGGGAGAAGATCCACTCTGGAGTGACAGACTTCACCTCTAGGGGTTCACCCTCACTGCACCCCACACCCGTGCTAACTGGCTGAGCACAGGAGGGAGCTTCCACTGAGCGACTTGCCTAGTGTACATGGGAAACATGCCCTTACAGTTTCCAGGAACGGCCGGAAACTGGCTGCTTGTCCTCCTACACCTGACCCACATGGGAAGATTGGGGGGGGGGGGCACCAGAGCACTGGCAGAGGGTCCTGGAGCAGCCCAGCCGCTGGACACCTCAGAAAATGCAGCCAGGAGCTGACAGACGTGGCCTGGAAGCTGCTGCTTCCTGGAGCCATCAGAGAGCAGAAAAAGGGCCAGCTGTGGCTGTGCTGAGTCACAGCAGGGAGAAGGAGCACACTGCTGCCTGCCAGCACAGCCCGGCCAAGGGAGGTGGGGCAGAGCCGGGCTACCTTGGCCAGCAAGCTGCTGAGGAGGGCATGGGATGAGTTTTCCACTGGCTCTCAGCTTCGCCTCTCATCCTCCCCACATTGTCCTGTCCACCGTCACCATTCACAAATACTCTCTGGTCCCTGTCTGTGGTGACAGCCCACAGCACACTGCGTGAGGTGCATGTCCACCAGCTGGGCTCCCCTCGTGTGACCCTCAGTCGGGCTTTCCCAGGGGCTCCGTTGTTCTGGCCATCCACGAGGTAGACTGGCTGCCGTTTGGGGGTCCACCTGAGCCGTCCTCCCTCCTCATGCTGCGGTTCTCGCTGTCTGCACCCTTGCTGTGTCCTGCACCATCTGCAGTTGCCCGGATCCTTGTCGGTCCCAGGCTGCTGTGCTGCTGGAAGCAGAAGCATGCTGGGATGCCTTGTGCTTGAGTGACTTCTGGATCCTCTCGGTTAGATCCTTGAGTGCCCTTGAGGCAAGGGCTAGCTGTGCACTGGCTCAAGGTGGTGTCTGCTGTAGCCCCTGGCGTGTTGCTGTGAATGTGGGCACATGGGATGGAGTTAATGGAGCCTGAGACAGGTGCACAAGTTTGGGAAGGAAATCGGGGAGTTGTGGAGATTCTGGGTTGTGCAGTGTCTGGCGCACAGTGATGCTCTGAGACGTTTTACTCTTAGTGGATGTTGAAAAGCTGTAGTGTAAGACGTAGTGATCCTTCTGGTAGACGGGATCTGCCGGGATGTCCGTGACCCAGGTGGTATCACCTTTTGACGGAGGTGCAGTGGGAAAGCGGCCAGCCAGGGTGAGCGCAGGGAACTTGCCCTCTGGTACGCCTGCACTGCCCAAGGAGTCTCCCGAGTTCAGGTTGCAGCTGAAAGTCTGAGTCGTCGTGGCCCTAGGGACACAGCTGTGCAGCCCTCTGGACCCAAGGTTAGCATCTGTACGTGGGGTTGGGGTGGGGGTGTGCTCCTTCTAAGTGGACCTCAAGAGCTGGAATAATAAGCAAGTTCCTTTAGAATAGGAAGTTTGGAAACTCTAGGCTCTTGAATAGCATTGTTTATAAAAACAATAGCCTAGTAGATGTCGGAGTAGGTAGACGGAGATGACAGACGACTAGCTAGGCTTGGCCTGCCCTCAGCTTTCAGAAAAGATGACGCATCAAACTATGAAGCTGATTGTCACTAAAGAAGGCCCAAACACCTGGGCCTGTGGATGCACCAGGGGTGTGTGGCTGGCCCCAGACCCGCCTCCCCTGTGGCTTCCACGGTGTGGCGCCCTAGCACAGACGTCATCTTACAGTGGTTGTGTGAGGCTGATGGAAAGAGTGCGAAAAAGTTGACACCAAATTCATAATTAGGACAGAAAACCTTAATCCAGTCAGTGAGTGACACGTAAGAAGCAAAGGGGGTGATATATACATATATATATATGTATTTTTCCATCTAGAAAGAGGAAGAGACAGATCTCCCACCCACTGGTTCACTCCCCAAATGGCTACTGTGGCCAGACCTGGGCCAGTCCAAAGTTGGGAGCCAGGAGCTTCGTGCAGGTCCCGAGGCTTTGGGCTGTCCTCTGCTGCTCTCTCAGCAAACGTGCTCATTTGGGATCTTGGTAACACAGGTGGAGGATTAGCCTACTATGCCAGCATACTCACCCCTGAAAAGGGCTGGTTTGATCAGTGCAGAGAACAAGAAGAAAGAACCCCAGCGCCTGCAGCAGAAGGCGCTGGGTTACGAGACGATGTGGAGTGCCAGCAGCTGGTCAAGAGGGGGGCTCTGCTCTGTTGAGAACAGTTCTAAGAACACAAAAGTTGAGTTAGCTGTGGCAACAGCAGAAAGGCCCCAGCCACCCCATCTCCTGAGTGAGGTCAACAGCCCGAGGTCCCAGCAGCACATGCATGTCCATGTTTATAAGGAAGGACACCAGATACTAAGACCCTTGGGCTACTCAAATCCGGGGCAGACCTCTGCAGAGTTAAGTGTTTTTTTCTGTGTTCAAGAACTGCCTGGAAAAGAAATCAGTTTTTTTTTTTTTTAATGGATTTACTAAGAATAAATCCCACTAAATTTTTTTCCCAGTAAAATTTCCAAGCTGGCAGCTTGAAACCTGCTGCAGGATTAATGTAGCTCGGCTGCAGACAGGAGTTAGAAGAAATGGCCCCTTGTGTTTCTGCAGATAAAAGTCCTAAGGCAGGCAGGCACTGCTAAGCAGTGGGATTAAGCAGTGGGCTAAGCAGGAGTGACCAGGAGAGAGCAGGTGCACAGGGCTGGTGAGGTCTAAGTGTCGTGGCCTCAGGAGCTCCCAGTGTCAGGCACTCAACGGATGCCCACAGCCACTCATGAGCCCCTTTGGTCTGTGCTTCCTCAACACTGGGCGGGTGGAGGCAGCCAGTGTTCCCACTGTATCCCAGCTGTCGGGGCACACCTGTCACATGTCACAGGGCACGGTCAAGTCGGAGTCTGCTTCAGGAGAGTTGCCAGGGTGGCACCCATCTGGACACAGTTACCACCTCCAGTCAGAAGGCTGAAGGGGGCTGGGACAGTGGAGCTGCAAGTTAAGCCAGCAACTGCAACACCAGCATCTCATACGGGTTTGAGCCCCAGCTCTTGCTAATGACCTGAGAAAGGCAGTAGAAGATGGCCCAAATACTTGAGTCCTTGCTGCTTGTGTGGGAGACCCCGATGGAGTTCCAGGCTCCTAGCTTCAGCCTGTCCCAGCCCCAGCCGTTGTAGCCTTGTGGGGAGTGAACCAGCAAATGGAAGATGTCTCTCTCTGTCTCGCTGTGGTTTTGCCTTTTAAATTAATAAATACTTTTTAAAAGTTAAAGGATCTGAAGAAATAAAGGAGCCAAACATGAGAGAGAGGAAAATCACCTTAAAATACTCCAAGAATGTCAGTTGGAGGGAGGATGAGATTAGCTTGGCCTGTGGCTCCAAGGAGTAAAATGAGTGTCCTCTGGTGGAAGTCTGTGGAAGCCCATGCTGACTGGGAAAGCCTGCAGCGCCTTTCAGCGCTGGGATGGGTTCCCTGCAGAGCGAGCGCTCAGGAAATGAGCTGTGCAGGCTGCGCTTTGATGGTTTTCTGTGATTCTGTGATGACTGGCGGCTCCTGGCAGGCATGTAAGAAATTGCTTTGCCATGCTCTCCCCCATGACCCTGGGCTCCTGGGCACACTCGCTGCTTTGCCACCCCCAGTCACTGGTGCCTGTCTTTCAGAACTGAAAACCTGCAGCTGTGCGGTGCGTTCCTCTGCTTCCTCCCTGGGGCTTCTGTACACGTGTGTGTGCGCGCGCGCCTTGTAAGCTCCGAATTTGTTCTAGCCACTCTAGCGTTGTCTTGAAACAGTCTCAGGTAGGTGTCTCCCAGAATCTGCACAAAAGGCAGTTGGCTGGTTGACCTATCTGGAAAGTGCAGAGCTGTTCAGGCCCTGGCATACAGGGCGTGGAGGGAAGGCAGCGGAAGGCAAGCAGGAGTGTGCCTTGGCCCCAGGGCAGGCACAGGCAGCCCCAGCAGATTCTGGGGCTGGCGTGCAGCTGTGTTCCTCTGTCGTCCCCGTCAGCTTCTTTGTAGACCTGTTGGTGGGGTGGAACTGTCACCTCCCCCGAGACAGAGCTGGATCTGCAGGTGATGTGGCTCTGGGGCCAGGCGGGGGCTGCGGTGGAGATGGGACTCGGGGAAGGTGCCACCCACTTGGGCTCCTGATTGTCCCTCCTTTAAGATGCATGGTTTATAGAAGGTTTTATACATACCAACAGGAAGGAGTGCCCTTTTGGTTTTTCCTTTCTGTTTTTTAAATATGTTTGTTTAAAAGGCAGAGTTAGAGAGAGGTCTTCCATCTGCTGGTTCACTCCCCAGGTGGCCTCAATGGCCAGGGCCAGGCCAGGGCAGAGTTGGGACTTCCAGCCTCTCATACATGGCTGCAGGGGCCGAAGTGCTTTCCCGGGCACATGAGCAGGGAATTGTATTGGTAATGGAGCAACGGGGACATGAGCCAGCGCCCAAACGGGATGGATGCCAGTGTCACCGGTGGCAGCTTCTCCCCTGTGCTAGGATGCCAACCCCCAAGCCCCTGGGTCTTGAGTGGCAGGGGTCAGAGTGGAGGCTTCGATGCTGTGTTTTATTGAGTTTCTTTGTTCATAGACAATGGTGCTGGTGCTCTTGGGCACTGAGGTGGGTGGAAGATTGTAGCGCGATGCATTAGAACAAACACACGGCGTGTGCACCCACAAAATGACCGTCAGAATGCTACACGTTTTCTTGACATTTGTGTGTCTGGCTTGTGAGCGTTCCCCATCCTTGTTGAAATACCAGGTCGGTGTTCTTGTGCCTTGAAAGGCACCTGCTGTGTAGAATCCCATCCAGTCACTGTACCGTAACCAGCCAGCTCTGTCTTGTAGACGTCCATGCTGTGCTGGCCATTTACCATGGCAAGTGTTTCTCTAGTGTGGGCGATCTGTGTGTCTTGGAGACTTCCGTTTTCTGAACCTGCCAGTTTTAGCTCTTTGAAAGTGGCCTGGCTGGGCCACGGGCTCTGTTGGTGTTTGAGCCCTGAGCCACACCATGGGGCCGCATGCTCCACCCCGTCCATTGGCCACAAACCCTTGGGTGAATCCCTCCCTTTTGGATCTGCACTTAACTCCCAGGAAGCGCAGTTCCAACCCAAGAATTCACAACTAGTGAGTGTGTGCACGCAGGAGCTTGGATTGATTTGAAAGGCAGAGTGACAGATCTTCCATCCCCTGGTTCACTCCCCCGACTTCCACCACACAGGGTTGGGCCAGGCTAAAGCTGGGAGTCTGGCACTCTGTCCGGGTCTCCCATGTGAGTAGTAGGGATCCAAAAACTTCTCAGGTGAATTAGCAGGAAGTTGGATCAGAAGAGGAACAGCTGGAACTCAAGCCAGTGCTCAGATGTGGGCGAGTGTTTAACCCACCGCACCACAGCACCTGCTCTGCTCTCTGACGGGGTTCCTCCAGCTCCTGCCTGACTGCTCCGTAAAGTTGTACTGTTTGTACAGTTGCCACACATTGTGTGCACTGAGTATCTACAGGGGAGCATGGCTCCTGCTGCTGTGGCCTCTCGTGCCAGGGCAGTGGCTGGCACGTGGAGGATGGTGAGGCTACTGCCATGTCCCGGGAGCCCACTGTGTGACTGCCCCTCCCCTGCTTTGTGCTTGCCTCTGCAGCCATCCTCCGCTACCTGAAGAGCGATGGGAAGATCCACCAGGTGGTGTTCAACAACCTACAGCTGGCTGACGGCCAGCGGCACAGGGTCCTCCTGAGACTGACCAATCTGCAGCGGGGGCCGGGCTCCGTGGAGCTCTACATGGACTGCACCCAAGTGGATTCTGCTCACAGTCTCCCTAGAGCCTTTGCTGACCTCGCCCAGAATCCAAAGTCTTTGGAGTTGAGGACCTTTCAAGGGAAGGCACAGGTAGGGACCTCAGCAAGGGGTGGACTGCCCCACCTGGGAAAGCCAAGGAGGGTGCTGAGGACAGCCTGGCAGCTCAGACACCTGCTACTGTCCGGTCACCTAGGAGACCCGAGGCCTCCTTGAGACAGATGGCACAGAGCCCCTCAGGGATTGGGCCTAGGCATCTGCATTTAAAAGAGATATTTATTCTGGATTAAGTGCTGTGGTATATCAGGTAAGACTCTGCCTATGGTGTTGGCATCTCACATGAGCACTGGTTCAAGTCCTGGCTGTTCCACTTTCCATCCAGCTTCCTGCTAATGGCCTGGGAAGACAAAGAAGGATGGGGCCTAAGTCCTTGGGACCCTGTACCCACAGGGGAAGCCTGGAGGAAGGTCCTGGCTCCCTGGTTTTAGACCAGCCAGGGTCCGGACATTGCAGTCATTTGGGGAATGGACCAACCATGGAGGCTCACTCTCCTCTCAGCCTTTTAAATAAAAAATATACATTTAAAAATGTATTTACAATGAAGGCATCTTGGGACTCTTGGGAGTTTGAAAGGAACAGCTAAAAGGAGCCAGTTTCCTGTGACTGTTGATATTTGCATGATTTATCTCCAGGGAAAATGTGAAAGAGTAACAGAATTACCAAGCACTGGAAGCATTTTTTTCAGTTCTTGACAGACATCCTACTTATTTTAAAAAAGTGATTTATTGCTAGCTTAGCTCTAAGTGGTCTTAAAAAAAAGTCCCTTCTGTGTGTGCAACATTCTGATTGCATTTTTGTTATTATATCCTTGCACCTGCTGTAGAAATGGCCACTTCCATTTCTTTCAGAGTGTTGTGTTGGGGTGCTGGATTTCCTAACAAGACCCAGTAATTTACAGGTAGCTCTGGCTGCTGGCTCCCACCCGGCAGTCAGTGCCGAGACCTGCGGCCTGTGATGCTGCCGCCTCTGCCTCCCAGTCCTTCTCCGTTTCGTTGTGCTCCTCACATCTGCTTCAGTTACAAGCTGCTGCTCGCACCCAGGCCCCTGGCTCTGCCGTGGTTCCCAGGCAAGGTGGTGCTGTGAAAGTCTGATTAGAACAAGGGCTTCGTGCCTCAACAACAGCAAACACTGCTATGGGAATCCCAAGAAAGCTAACGTGCAGGGGTCTTGCGGTTGTGTTTTTGTTTGTTTCACATAGCCTTTTTACAGGTGTAGACTTTTAAATGTAGGTTTACAACAAAGAAAATTTAGTGATTAGAGAACGCGACTAAACCGTATTTCTGAGTCCCTAAAGCAGCTCAGATAATCAGAGGCAGAAATTTTGATGCCAGTCCTCTCAGAAATGAATGTCCACCCCCAAGTAAGTCTTATCTAAACCCTGACCCCGACCACAGTGAGGGCCAGGTACCAGGACCTTTCTCAGTGCTGCCTGCTTGGATCCCGGACAGGGACCACAGAAGCTGCCGGATGGAAGAGTGAGGCTGTCCCTCAAGCCACATAGCAGTTTGGGGCCAGCTGTGGGCCTAACAGTCACAGGGCACCTGACGGCCCCAGAGAACCTGTAAGATGTGGTGCCAGTGGTAACAAATCCACTGCTCATAGCCCAAGGATACGAGTCTTGGCCACACTGCCAAGTCAAGAACTGTACCCCACGCTATGTAAAACTGGGATTGCTATGGGGCCAGCACTATATCATAGTGGGCTCATCCTCCCCCTGGTCTAGCTGCTCCACTTCCAACCCACTCCCTGGGAAAGCAGCAGAGGGTAGCTCAAAGCCTTGGGCCCCTGTTACCCATGTCAGAGAGCTGGAAGAAGCCCCTGCTCTCAACTTCAAATTGCCCCAACTCTGAGCAGTGCAGCCATTTGGGGAGTGAAGCAGTGGGTGGGAGACCTCTGTCTCTCCCCTTCTTTCTAGAAAAACAAATAAATCTAAAAACTAACCTGGGATCAGTATCTTACACTCACAGCCTGCACTCTGAGTGAGTTCTAGGCAATTCAGCGGAGCTGGTTCAGGAAGGCCAGCACGTCTCCTTCAGGCTGCCCAGGAGCTCCTGGCAGATGGGAGGCCCATATCTCGCTGGGCTGCCGGCTACTCGCATATGTGCTTTGGTGAAAAGGTTAGGGTTGATGGGTGTTGGAGGAAAGTGAAGCCACAGAATCAAGTACGTGCGCAGCCGGGCTCAGCGCACACAGGGTCACTTCAGTGCAGAGGCAGTGAACGGCAGCCGTCTGTGGTATCAATGAGGTGGTTTGTTTTTTTTCCCCAGGGCTTGTTTGAAGAGCTGAAGCTGGTGGTGCAAGGCTCACTGATCCAGGCAGCCAGCCTGCAGGACTGCCTCCTACAGCAGAGCGAGCCGCTGGCTACCACGAGCACAGGTGTTGGGGCACCCGAGGGCAGGGGAAATCAGTGTGAGCATAGACCATGCCCAGCCACCCCACCCCCGCCATGAGGGGCTGGCAGGCTGTAACCGGGCAGTGCAATAGAAGGCATCAGGGGCTTGGGCGCCGTGTGGGGCAAGGAGCATTTGCACGCATGTTTGAGGACGCTGCACATGAGTTTAAACTAACCAGCATGTGGATGCAGAGAGCTTAGCTACTGTGTCGCCTCGTCGCGTGGACACTGGAGATGCTCCAGGGTCTTTTAGGAATCGCTGTCTCAGCTGAGTGCTGCTTGCTTTGCCCTCTGCCTGCAGAGGACTTCAACCGGCAGTTCTTGGGTCAAATGGCGCAGCTCAACCAGCTCCTGGGAGAGGTGAAGGACCTGCTGCGACAGCAGGTGAGGTGCGGGATGACACCAGCAGCTCGCCTGCAAGCAGGCAACACCTGGAGCACTGGGGAGGTGGGCCCCAAGCAGCCCAGGCCCCCAGGCTCTGCTGGGAGGGCCGGGAGGTGGGATCACCCTTGACCAGCACAGGTGTCTGTTGACAAGCAGGAGCTGCTGGGGTCACTGCAGACCCACTGTGGGAGTATCCTGGGCAGGAGTACTGCACAGGGGTGCCCCCTCAGTCTTCCTCTCTGCCCCTTGTGCCCAGGTCAAGGAGACATCACTCTTGCGCAACACCATCGCCGAGTGCCAGGCCTGTGGTAAGCACCATGCAGGCAGAGACGAGGGCAGGGGTGTGGGACCCCCGTGCTTTGTGGCATGTCCCGCCCACTTTCCTGGTGAAGGGTGAACTCGCAGACTGTGGTGTGCCTTCCAGGTCCTCTGAGTTTCCAGTCCCCGACCCCCAACACCCTGGTGCCCCCCGCCCCCCCTGCTCCTCCGACACGTGCACCACGCCGCTGCGACTCCAACCCGTGCTTCCGAGGCGTACGCTGCACCAACACCAGGGATGGCTTCCAGTGTGGGCCCTGCCCTGAGGGCTACACGGGCAATGGCATCACCTGCTCGGACGTGGATGAGGTGTGCACCACACGCTGGAGGGAGGGATGGGACATGCTGCCTCTGTGTGCCCGACGCAGCCACAATCCCTGTGGCCCCAAAGCTGCCACCACGGCCTCTAGCCTGGCATTTCCTGAAGTTATCCACACACCAGGCAGGCTTCCGCCATGCTTCTGCCAGTGTGGGCAAGGAAGATGGATGAAGGGCTGTATTTTACGGGTGCTAGGGATGCATTTGGCCTGTTGAAATTGAGGCCACAATTAGAGGGAGGCTCATGCCAATGGCATCCTTCAGAGAGAGTTCGTAGCCCAGGGGAAGCCCAGAGTACCAGCTCGGAGCACACAGATTGCTCCAGGCTGGGTTAACCAGTCCTTCATCCAGGACAGGTGGCAGGGCCACCACCCTGATGTGTGTCTCCCCTTCAAGTCCTGTGGGGACCTACAGCTCCCGCAGGCCACGGTAGCACGGGCAGCCCCCTCCTCCCAGTAGTATGCTGTCCAGCTGCAAGCCCCCTCCCCCGCCCCCTAGCCCTGGCTGGGAGAAACGTCTTCTACACGTGTCCCAGAAGTGCATTTGGTTTGTGTCTGTGAGCTGGAATTTTCCTCCTTCTGAAAGGGGAGGAAGTGGTCATGTTTTTTACATGAGTTGAAGGTGGCCATTTTTAAGGAGAGGAAGAGAACTAATCCCCTAGACTCCAGGAGCCCTGGGATATCCTCCAGATGCTCAGGTGCAGGAGACGGAGCACCTGCCCAGAGGTGGCTGCCCGAGGGCTTTCCCTCCAAGTGTTCCCACAGGCAGGGCCATGGTGCTGTCACAGAGGGGATGGAATCCCAGCAGGGACAGGCTGTTGGACATTGAGGCCCCGACAGCTTGGACACATCATTGTCCTGTAACACAGCAAAGGCCACCAAAGGATGGCCTCAGGCAGAGCAGCTCAGAGGTGAGACTGGTAACCATGATGTTGCAAGCTTTTACTTCCTCTGGTCATTCCCCCACTGAAACCAGTCGAGTGCGTGAACAAACATGTGCGAGACATGGAGCGTGTTCTCCCCGTGTGGCTAAGAGTGAACTCTGTCTGCAGTGCAAGTACCGTCCCTGCTACCCCGGAGTGCACTGCGTGAACTTGGCTCCCGGCTTCAGATGCGATGCCTGCCCCGTAGGCTTCTCGGGGCCCCCAGTCCAGGGTGTGGGAATCGCGTTTGCCAAGTCAACTAAACAGGTGGGTGAAAGTTACAGACTGCTCACGTCTCACCTTCAGCAGTGGTTTGGGTTGGCTCATGTCTTGGTATGACCCCTGCCCTGGGTGGGCATATGGTCAGCATTGGGAAGGCCTTCCACTCATTTTTGGGTATCAGTGTTTAAAAAGTTGGGATAAGAGTACCACTTGAGAAAGAGTGAATGGAATAATGCTGAAAATGTGGCCTGAAAAAATTGGAGTCTTTGGACATTTGGTGCTGCAGAGTAACTTGGGGAAAAAATCAAAGAGATATGCCAAAGCTTTAGACAGCCATGTCAGCTGTGTGGAGGTCTGGTGGTCCATCAGAAGCTGTATTAGAGGCTCCCAGGATTGAAACGGCCCCGGGAGCCCTGCTCTTGGTCAGATGACAGCTGTCCAGTGGCGGACAACACCTGAATGCTTCCAGAAACGTCTGCTTCATCTGGGCTGTCGTTGCTCTGAAGGAAGTGTCAGCTGCTCTGTGAACACGTTCTCCTGCCTGAGCAGAGTCCTCCACCTCGAAGGAGGGCAGATGGTCATGGACCACTGTGGGAGCGGGGGTAGGGGCTGGGGGAGACTGTGGCACTGCCCTTCTAGGCCTCTGGACTTCTGCCAGGGCCACTGTCATTTGCAATTAGCCTTGACTGGGACATGTGCTAAGGTGAGGCGGGGGCCGCTGTGACCCAGGCCCCCAGACTCCCATCCTAGCCGTGCCTGGGGAAGGGGCCAGAACAAAAGCAGCTGGGTTTGCAGCTGTGGTGACACGCTCTCTCTCCACAACAGGTGTGCTCCGACATCGACGAGTGTGCCAACGGAGCATGCGTGCTCAACTCCATGTGCACCAACACTCTGGTGAGTGCCTCTTGTGGCTGGGCCGTGGGGCCGTGGGGCCTTGGGGCCGTGGGGCCGTGGGGCCTTGGGGCCGTGGGGCCTTGGGCTGGATGCTAATGCAAACCCCTAGGGAGCCTGTGAGCTCAAACCCCTGAGGCAGAGCCAAGGCCAGAGCTGTATGCTGGGAAAGTTTCAGGCAAGACTCATTTCCTAAGGGGTTTCCAATCTCAGGATAATTTTGTAAATGCCAAATTTGCTTTTTTAGCATCTAGTGAAACTGCGATGCTGGGCTCTTGGGGAGCCATCAGTCAAAGCGTCCCTGCATGTGCCCTGTGAGGACAGGAAGGACTCGGCAGGCCCTGGTAACAGCTCTGGTTCTACTGCTGGCTGTGCCGCCTCAAGCAGCGCTGTGTTCTCTCACAAGTTTCTAAAGCTGATTGTGTGGGACAGAAATGATGATCATTGTGGGAGGCCTGTAACGTTAATACTCTGAGTTTTCCATCTCAGAGGTGCCCTCTGTGTCCAGGGCAAGGGACACAGCAGACCAGTGGGCGTCTGACCCACTGTTAGAACTTAGGCTAGGACTGCCACCGGGAGGAGCAGGCTCTCCTTGCTGGCTCCCCGCCACAACCCACCTTTCCAGTGGGCAGCGATACCAGCTCAAGCAGCTAAGCCCTGCCACTTAGCAGAGATGCACACCAAGTTCCTGGTTCCACCCACCTGGTCCCGGTGGCTTGGGGCACATGGGCAGTAAGGCAGTGCACCACAATCCTCTCTCTCACACACACACACACACTCACTCCCTCGGGCACATCTCCTGTCCTGGGTGTCTCTGAGATGGTTCTGGAATGCCCAGATGCATTCCTTTCAGTAGGGAAAAGGACTTCAAAGACATCAGGTCCCTTACTGTGCAACTCCCAGGAGCTCTGTGGGCAGCACCCTGTGGGCTGTACTGCACAGCTGCAGAAACCACAGCACACATGTCTTATGCAACATCTCATGAGACTTCCAGGGACCAGTGCTGGGCACAGCAAAGGAGATACTCCCTGAAACTCCCAGCAACCCGTTAGTGGTTGGAGTCCCAGCCCATGCTGCACAGACTCCAGCTTCCTGTTAGTGCGCGTCCCAGCAGGAAGCAGGTGACGGCTCAAGGACCTGGGTCTGAGTCACCCACAGAGAAGGCCCGAGTTGAGTTCTCAGCTACAGGCTGCAGTGACCATAGCCAGAAGCCTGGGCTCCAGCTGGCTCCCTGGGTGGGTTCAAGGGCTCAAGCACCCAGACCATCTTCTCTTGCCTTCCCAGACACATTGGCAGGGAGATCGACTGGAGGTGTAGCAGCCAGGGTTCAGGCTCTCATGGGATGCCAACAGTACAGGCAGTGGTTTAACCTAGTACACCACAATGCCAGCCCCCACAAGCTTGCTCTTAAATCAGTTCATCCTCCCCATACCCAGAGCAAACTCTGTCCCTCTACCTCCCAGGGCCTTTTCCTTCTCCGGCTGTTGCTGTCAGTTGCCCCAGCCCAGGGCCCTCCCACCTCCAGGGCAGGCATGCTTCCTGGTTATCCCCGAGACCTGCACCAACATCCCCACACGCCTGGAAGACACAGGGGCTGCGCTGCTGCCTGTGACACCTGCATCCCACACCACAAAGCCAATTCCAGTCCCAGCTGCTCCACTCCTGCTCTAGATCCCTGCTGATGCACTGGGGAAAGCACTAGGACATGGAGTTCCAGGTGCCTGGCTTTGGCCTGGCCCAGCCCTGGCTGTTGTGGCTATTTGGGGAGTGAACCAGTGGTCAAAGATCTGCTCTCCCTGTCTCCATGTCACTCAGCTTCTCAGATCAGTTAGCTAGCTGAGGAAGGAGAAGGGGAACCATTTGGGCAGGGAACAACAAGGATCCCACTTGGCCCAACATGCGTGAAAACCAGTGGAAAAAGAACCATGGCACTCTAGGTAGAGACAAGCCTTGGCTTCTCCCATTTGTCCCCTAGGGATCCTACCGCTGCGGGCCCTGTGAGCCCGGCTACACCGGGGATCAGACGCGCGGGTGCAAGGCTGAGAGGAGCTGCAGGAACCCGCAGCTGAACCCCTGCAGCCCCAATGCACAGTGTGTCGAGGAGCGGCGCGGGGAGGTGATGTGCGTGGTGAGTGCCTTTGCTCCCTTGCCACTCTCGTCTCAGAAAGTACCTGGCTCTCAGGAGTCCGCTCGCTCCTGGCAGAAATGAACAGGTGGCAGGTAAGCTGAGCACGCAGCAGCAGAGGGCCAGCACCTGCTCAGTGGGCCCTTGCCGTCCTCAGGGCCTCTCCTCTCTTGCCCAGGCGATGCTGTACTTGGGGATGGAGGCCCAGGTGCAGTCTTCGCCCATGCCCTGCTGCTGTCTGCAAGTTGGCCCTTCTCTAAGACTTCCAGTGTCACAGTCTGGCCAGCACTCCAGGGCCAGGCTCGGTTCAAAGGCAGGGACTGTTTCAGGCCCTCTTTCACCCTCCTGTGTCATCTGCCCACCCCTTGCTGGGCAGCCCAGTGGAGGCTGCCCAGACTGTGATGCCCAGCACTGTGGTCAGTTTGGGGAGGAAGAGGCAGAGAGCGCGAGCGGGCCTGAGCTCGGACAGGCTTCCTGAGAAGCGGGAGTCCAGTCCCTGCAGCCCATCCCCAGGCTGCATCCGGCACCCCTCACACCCCTCGGGGCTGCCAGAGCCTGGGTGCTTTGGCTCCTTGGAGCTGGCTTTCCAGCAGCAGCAGTAGGGATTCGGGGAGACAGCTGGCTGCCTGGGTCTGCCTCATGCCTCTTAGACCATGTGAGTAGCGTTTCCCACCACGAACACTTTGCACATGGGAACAGCAAGTGGCAGACGCAGCAAAAGATCAGAATGTGGTGTGAGCACTCAGGTCAGCTGGCCAGCCCAGGGCCCAGGGCCTGGGAGAAGTGACGCTTCATTCCTGCCCTCCTCTGACCTTGCGTGGGGGTGACCCACGAGGCCGCTTGGTGCTGTCCGGTGGCTATGCAGTGTCTCCTGGCTGCCTGCCTGGGAGTCCTGGCTCGCAGCTTCTCCCTGACCCACGTTCCCTCTGCAGTGCGGAGTCGGCTGGGCTGGGGACGGTTATGTGTGTGGGAAGGACGTGGACATCGACAGCTACCCCGACGAGGAGCTGCCGTGCTCTGCCAGGAACTGCAGGAAGGTGAGGGGGGCACACGTGTGCACCTACATGTGCAGGAACAAGTGAATGAGCTTGAAAAATGTGAGCTGTCACGTGCAGTGCCTCATTCCTTGCAGACACCGGTTCAAATCCCACTGCTGCCCTCTGATCTAGCTCCCTGCAAAGGGCCTAGTCAGAAGCTGACTAAAGTAAATCCTGGTCCCTCGACCCATGTGGGAGACCTGGATGAAGCGCCTGGCTTGCTTCAGACTGGCCCAGCCACACCATTGCTGTCATTTGAGCAATGAACCAGCAGATACAAGATTTCTTTCATTGCCTTTACCTTTCAAAAAATAAATAAGTAGATGTCTTTTTGCTTTTTGCAAAGTCATAGAGAGCAGAAATTAAGTGCACAAAGTGCCATGGCCTTTTTGAAGACCCCTTGTGTGGGCATGTGGATGCTTGGGCATGTGGGTGGATGGACACACACACGCACACACACACCACACATACACACACGGGTTCTGCACGTCATGCAGAGCGGGCCGTGTTGGGCTTTCCCCAGGACAACTGCAAGTACGTGCCCAACTCGGGCCAGGAAGACGCAGACGGAGACGGCCTTGGTGACGCGTGCGATGAGGACGCTGATGGAGACGGCATCCTGAACGAGCAGGTATGGCTTGGCAGGGCTGGTCCGGGAACCGGCTGTCTAGAATCCCCTAGAGGCATCTGGAATGTTCCCTCCATGCCTGCCTCTGACAGCCCTGGGGCCCATCACACCACGAACTTTCGCAAAAGCTGCAGATGTGGGTCCCCAGGCGCCGTGATGGCCTGAGGGCCTGGGAGGCACGTGCAGCAGGCTGAGCGAGCTGCCTTTTACCCGCCCCACAGGATAACTGTGTCCTGACACACAATGTAGACCAGAGGAACAGCGACAAGGACATCTTTGGGGACGCCTGTGACAACTGCCACACCATCTTAAACAACGACCAGAAGGACACGGACGGGGACGGGAGAGGGGACGCGTGCGATGATGACATGGACGGGGACGGTGGGCTGCCTCACGTCCCCGAGCCCCGTTCCCTGTCAAGACAAACAGCCTGTACCTGGGGCAGGGGGACAGGGCAGAGCTAAGGTTGGCCTGGCCTGGGGAAGGGTCACGGTCCTCTTCACTACTGAGCGCCCCCTGGGAGTTTCTAGAAGTTTGTCAGATCCACACGAGCTGCTGCTCTGTAGGGCATCAGACTCCCCACTACCGCACCCCTGCCCCTGCTCTCCACGAGGCCCGGGGGTGGGGAGGCGGGGAGGACTCTGACGAGGTCCCAAGCCGCCACCCTGAGGATCCTTGCCTCCTGAAAGCCTGGCTGTTGGCCAAGCCCCAGCTGGTGCTAGCCAATTTCTGGGAGGTGACCCTGGTGTCTCCCGCCTCTGACTCAACTGTCAGTGGGAGAGAGGGCCGCAGTGGCGTGGCCCAGGCACACAGCCATTTCCCCAGGCCTTGGGGCGCTGCTGTGGCCCAGACCCCCTCAGTCCTTTCCTCCGGGGTCAGCTGCTTCTCTGTCCTGGCCTCTCCTCTAATTGCCCTGCTGGCCAGGGATGGTTAGACAGACTGGACTTCAATAGATGCAGATAAAGGCTGCCATGGCCATTCCCTGCTAACAGACCCAGAATCCTTCCTTTGAGTCACCCCACTGACCTTCAGCAAGGGGGTAGTGGCCATGAAGCCATGGCCCGGTCAGCTGTGGCTCCTGGCCAGTCTGACCTCCCAGCACCCAAAGCCAGTGTGTTCCAACCCCACCCACGACATTGCCCTGGTGCTTTCTTGCAGGAATAAGAAATATTTTGGACAACTGCCCCAAAGTGCCAAATCGTGACCAGCGGGACAAGGACAGTGATGGCGTGGGGGACGCCTGTGACAGCTGCCCTGATGTCAGTAACCCTAACCAGGTCAGTGGGGCCAAGGGGCTGCCCTGCACCAAGGCACCTGGGACCAGTGTCCTGAGGATGACTTGACTGGCACCACAGGGGAACCGAGGTCCTGGGTGCCATGGCACAAGCTGGAGAGTGCCTGAAACCTCAGCCACACGCACCTGCTGAGGCCAAGGCTAGGCTTCTCTGCTGAGAGTGGAGCACGACACCCAGCCTGGGGGACACTTGCATCCTGGCTCCCAGACCCACACGGCCCGGAGAAGAGGGGGTAACCTGTGTAGATGAGTGCAAGTGATGTGTCTGATGATTGGGCGTGACTCTGATCGAGGGTGACATTTCCCTTCTAACACCCTGGGAGGAGAGGCGACGTCGCTGTTACTCACTGTGGGAAGAGAGCCAAGCCAGCCAGCCTCCACCCCCTGCCCACAGCTGCGCCCCTCTGGCCTGTTGCAGAGTCACATCCCTGCACCACAGCCGGTCAGCCCTCCTGCCCTGTGGGCTGACCATGCTCATGGCTTTTCATCGCAACTGGCACTAGAACTCGGCACCACACTGCCACCAACACAACACTGTCCTGGGGCAGCGCTGTGCCACCATTCAGGTTCCAGACGGACAGTGCCCGGAGCCTGGTTCCCATGGGCCGGGGCTGTGCTCTCTGCAATGCTCTGCCTAAAGGCCTAGTGGTAGCTCACCATTTGCTCTGTTCTCTGCAGTCCGATGTGGACAATGACCTGGTGGGCGACTCCTGCGACACCAACCAGGACAGGTATGGGCAGATGGCCATCAGCCACAGTCCCCTTTCCAGCTTCCATCTTGAGATCAGTCTGGGTGGGCTGAGCTGCTGGGGGACTACCAAGGGGTCACCCTGAGAAGGGTGTGCAGGGCAGGGGGTAGCAGGGTCAGCCTGGGCACTGGGCATTCCAGCAAGAGGGCTGTCATGGGAGGGGCAGGGCAGCCCTGTGCCCCCTGGGGCTGCAAGGGAGAAAGGTGTGAGCGACATGCACAGCAGCTCCCTCTACCGCAGAGGACTGTGGCCAAGTGCGACCGACTCAGACCCAGCAGACAGCAGCTCCTTCCTTGGCAGTCCTCCCACTCGGGAATGCCTCCACGTTCCTCTCTAGCATAACCTACTGCCCTCAGCCCTGCAAATATGCAATGTCCCTGAAACTGTCCCTTCAGTTCCCCAAATCTGAGCAGAGTGGGCGTGTGCACCTGAGTTCTGTTAAGGGGGCAGGCCTCCCAGGGTGACCTCCTGGCTGCCAGGCACCCACTCAGGCCCCACCCCTTGCTCTCCACAGTGACGGCGACGGGCACCAGGACAGCACGGATAACTGCCCCACGGTCATCAACAGTGCCCAGCTGGACACGGACAAGGATGGCATTGGTGATGAGTGCGATGATGATGATGACAATGACGGCATCCCGGACTCCGTGCCCCCAGGGCCTGACAACTGTCGGCTGGTCCCCAACCCCGGGCAGGAGGACAGCAACAGTGAGTGGGGGCAGTGGCATGGGGCCAGCCCTGTGCCCTGGGAGTGACGATGGTGCAGGCAGGGGTCACCTGCTGAGATGCCCAAGGGCCAGGCAGGGAAGTGCATGGTGCTGCCACAGGTCTGACCACGTGTCAGCTGACCCTTGGGGGCGGCAGATGCGGCCCCCACAGCTGGGGCACCAGGGACTTGCAGCCACAGGAAGTGATAGCTTGGGCACCTGTGGCCCACAGATCCCTGGCATCCAGTCCCGGCTCTGCTGGGAAAGGGGCTCAAGGACTCAGGTCCCAGTCTCCCCACCTTTCAGGACTGAGTTCCGGGCTACAGGAGTCTGCCGGTGGTGGGGACATTTGGGGAGTGAAGCAGCAGATGGGAGCGTTCTCTCTTCTCCCTGTCCAATTTAAGATTTACTTATTGGAAAGACAGAGTTACAGAGAGAAGAATCTTCCATCTGCTGGTTCACTCCCTAAATGGCCACAGCCATAAACAGAGCTGAGCCAATTCGAAGCCAGGAGCTCCATCTAGGTTTTCCGTGCAGGGACAGGCAAAGGCTTAGCCTGCTCTACACTGCTCCAAAAATTAACTTTTTTCATAAAAGCGCAAGTGCAGAGGCAACAGACACTGAATGGCAGGGGTCTGAGGTCAAGAACTCAGGCAGCACTTGAGGGGATGCTGGCACCAGTGGTGGAGGATTGGCCTTAGATACCACAGCACCAGCCCTTCAAGAAGCAAGCAAGCCTGGTGTTGTCTGAGCCTGTCCCGGCCCTGCCAGCTCCTGTCCCCTCCCACAGGCGACGGTGTGGGAGACATCTGCGAGTCTGACTTCGACCAGGACCAGGTCATCGACCGCATCGACGTGTGCCCCGAGAACGCCGAGGTCACCCTGACCGATTTCAGGGCCTACCAGACTGTGGTCCTGGACCCTGAGGGGGATGCCCAGATCGACCCCAACTGGGTGGTCCTGAACCAGGTGCGTGGACCCTGGATGGCAGCAGAGACCCTGTGGGATGGGTGGGGCCCATGCCAGCCCCACTCACATCACCCCATCCCTCAAAGCAGCTTGGTGACCTTACTGTGCCCACCTCACAGATGAGGACTGCAGTCGGTGACAAGAGGGCCCGGAGCGGCGGGTTCCCGTGGGCACAGCCCCAAGGACTCGCGCTGGGGCCGGTGCCCCTGGGCTACAAGCTTCTGTGGCCTTCTTCCAGATGCATGCCTGACCACACAGCGCAGCTGGGCAGGGGGGTTCCCGGCCTGTGCTGACTACCATCCTGGCCTCGGTCCCCCCTCTGCAGGGCATGGAGATTGTGCAGACCATGAACAGTGACCCCGGGCTGGCAGTGGGTAGGCACGGGGTTCCCTGAGGCTGTTGGGGTGGGGAGCTGCCCACTGTTGAGTTTCCCTGACCTTAGCCTGTACCGCCAGGGTACACGGCCTTCAATGGGGTGGACTTCGAGGGAACCTTCCACGTCAACACACAGACGGATGACGACTACGCCGGCTTCATATTCGGTTACCAGGACAGCTCGAGCTTCTACGTGGTCATGTGGAAGCAGACAGAACAGACCTACTGGCAGGCCACTCCGTTCCGGGCCGTGGCGGAGCCTGGCATCCAGCTCAAGGTACCACTCTCTGGGATGCTTACCTGACCCAGTAGGTGACGTGTCCCTGCTCATATCCATGCTGGGGTGACCACAGGTGCCCAGGCAGAGACCTGGGTGCCAGCCACACCCTAACCTCCACTGCTTCCAATGGGGGAGGGGAGAAGCTGAGCATGAGTCAGCCCTGGACGGTGGGCCATAGTCCTGGGGCCTGGCTGAGAGGTCTCACCCACAGGCCTGGCCGTGTCCTGCCTTAGGAGCAAGCACAAGGTGGCAGCCTTGGTGACACACCTGCAGGACACAGCTGAATTCCAGCGGGAGAAACAGGGGAGGGACAACACCTTGGAGTCCACGGTGCACTGAGCAGGTGTGGGGGGCTTTGGCTCTAACCTCTGCTCATGCTCTCGCCTAGGCTGTGAAGTCACAAACAGGGCCTGGGGAGCACCTGCGCAACTCGCTGTGGCACACGGGGGACACCAGCGACCAGGTGCGGCTGCTGTGGAAGGACTCGAGAAACGTAGGCTGGAAGGACAAGGTGTCCTACCGCTGGTTCCTGCAGCACCGGCCCCAGGTGGGCTACATCCGGTACGCAGGGGCCTGTCCTGGGTCAGAGCCGCTCTGCCAGGCTGGCGTGGGGGGCTTAGCCGGATCAGAGCTGCTCTGTCAGGCTGGCGTGGGGGGCTTAGCCGGATCAGAGCTGCTCTGCCAGGCTGGCGTGGGGGGCTTAGCCGGGTCAGAGCCTGTTCTGTGATGTTGGCCACACTAGCCTTGCTCAGCAGCCTTTCTAGAACAAGCAGTTTGCAATGTGCCCTCTTCTGTATCCAAAAGAAACTGTTGAGAGCAGCACCTACATTCATAGCAGAGAAAGCCCGTCTGAGCCCCAGCATGTCATCAGGAAGAACTTCATTCCCAACAAGATAGAGCCCATCCAGACACGGCCCGCCCCCTGCTGGCAGCCCCGAGGAGGGGCACCATACACCTCCAAGTGTCAGTGACACACGGGGTAACAGTTTCCAGGGAGCGAACGCCTCTTGTCAGATGAAGCCAAGCACTCAGCAGTTTTACAGTTTTCCCTGGACAACCCCACGTGTGCTGACATTGGTGCCCAGTATCCGTGACCATCCCCGGGGGGACAGGCAGGGCCCAGCTCCTCTCATCCTGGGTGGTCCCTGGGACGACCTCTGTTAGGGAGTGCTGCCTCCAGCAGAGCAGTCATCAGGGCACCCTGCCAGTGTGGGCACAGGGTCCCACTCGCCAGCAGTACAGGTGTGAGCTGTGTAGACCTGGAGGTGGTGATGGCCACAGCCCGTGGGGTCACTGTGAGGTCCCCACACCACGCAGTTCTCAGAACATGGCCTGTGCCTGTATAGGGGCTTCGCCAAGTTTATGGAAAATGGAGATTCTGGTGCAAAAACATTCTCAACTCCTTGCCTGGGGTTCTTTTCCATCAACTTCTTTCCACCACAGGAACATGTTGGGAGACAGCATCCTGTGGGGAGTGCCCGAGATGGAGCCCTGTGCACCTTGGGAGGGGATGGCGGCTCAGGAGCCCAGTCCTGTCCCACTGTGGAAGACTCGGCCCCAGCTCTCCTGGCCATCTGGGCAGTGAATCTAGGGACCAAAGACCTCCAGAGGGATGGAAGGAGATTGAATCCACTGGTTCAGTCTCCAGATGTCATGGCCGGGCTGGACTGAAGCCACACGCTTCCTATGGGTCTCCCACGTGGGTGCAGAGGCCCAAGGCCTTGAGCCATCCTCTTTGTCAGGTGCATCAGCAGGGAGCTGGATCAGAAGTGGAGGTGGGCCTGCACCCCAGGCACTCTCCCATGGGATGCTAGAGCCTCCAGCAGCACAACTCCTTGCCTCAATATAAGATTTTTAAAAATTACCTTCTTTTGCACCAAAATCAACTTGGTCTTTTAGGACCATGTTCCATGACCTTTTTGGAGTAGACTTGCCTGTGTCTGTCAGGGTTGCACCCCAGTGAGCAGTGGGGGAGCCTGTGTCAGGGTTGCACCCCAGTGAGCAGTGGGGGGCTTGTGTCTGTCAGGGTTGCACCCCAGTGAGCAGTGGGGGGCTTGCGTCTGTCAGGGTTGCACCCCAGTGAGCAGTGGGGGGCGCCGGTTCTCATGCCCCATGCTGTGTGCAGGGTGCGGTTCTACGAGGGCTCTGAGCTGGTGGCCGACTCCGGGGTCACCATCGACACCACCATGCGCGGAGGCCGTCTGGGGGTGTTCTGCTTCTCTCAGGAGAACATCATCTGGTCTAACCTCAAGTACCGCTGCAACGGTAATGACCCTGGGGACCCTGTGCCTGGGGGAGGGGCCTTCAGTCAGCCCACTCAGAGCAAGGGGTCTGCCTTTGGGGTCCAGCCTGCAGGGGCAGTCCCAGGCGTCCCCTGACCACCCCAGCCTGTGTCCCCACAGACACCATACCTGAGGACTTCCAGGAGTTTCAGACACAGAACTTCGACCGCCTGGACAACTGAGGCCAGCTCGCCGGGCGTTCCCACCGTCCCCCGTGCTGTGTACTGCACCTGCTGTCACATGTTTCCAGGCCCTGTCCATGGAGACACTCCCTCTGAGCAAGGCAATAAAGCAGAAAGCGCTACTTGTGGCCTCTGCATGGCTCGGGTCCAGCAGGGGGCACGGGCTGACATCCGTACGAGTCCTATCGCAGCTGGCAGCAGCTTCCACCTCCGTGGGGGCTCCCGGACCTGCGGGAGCGAGCTGAGCAACCCGGGGCCTCACCTGTGGTTATGCTCAGGGCCTTCTGTGGGCATCCCACACAGGACGCTGCCTCCCACGTGTGCTGTGACCCAGGCACCCACAGGGCATATCCAGGGCTGACCCCAGCCTGGCCCTTCTTAACTCCAGTGGTGAACTAATCACCCAGCAGTGTTTCTGGCCAGTGATACAGCATCCTACTCTAGAATTCCTGTGGTTGCTTAAGTCAGCAAGGAAAGAAACAGCACATTTTACTGTGACTGACAGAAAATGGGGAAGGGGCAGTGCCGGCTGCTGCAGCCCTCAACAGCAGCATCCCATGCGGGCACCAGTCAGCACCTTGCCAACTTGGCTCGCCATCCTGCTTCCTGCACACACACCCGGAAGGCAGCAGAGGATGGCCGAGGTCCCAGGCCCCGACAGCCGTGTGGCAGACCCAGAGTTCCAGCCTCCTCACCCAGCCCTGATCTTACATCTGTAAGTGAACCAGCAAGTGGAAAATGTTGATCTTTTTAAAAGATTTTCTGTAAATCTGCCTTTCCAATAAAAATAAGTAAAAGATTTTCCATCCACTGGTTCACTCCCTAAATGGTCACAATGGCCAGAGCTGAGCTAATCTGGAGCCAGGAGCTTCTTCCAGGTCTCCTACACGGGTGCAGGGTCCCAAGGCTTTGGACTATCCTCTGCTGCTTTCCCAGGCCACAGAGAGCTAGATGAGAAGTGAACCGGCCCGGACATGAACTGGCACCCATATGGGATCCCAGTGCTTGCAAGAGTAGGATTAGCCGATTAGCCAATTGAGCCATCGCGCCGGGCCCAAATACTTATTTTTTGAAGCCCCCAGCTGTACTTGCTGCTGCTGGGCCGGGAGCTGCCAGCCCTTGCCAAGCCAATGCTGAGACTCCCGATCTACAGAAGCGTCCCAGCACCCCGCGGGATCCCCTGGCTGGGGCGGGGTGGGAGACCACCTCTCAATGCCCCCTCTTACCTTGTGTCCCCTTGAAGAGCCCAGCAGCCACAGCCGTGCCCATCCTGCAACCTGCTGCTCATCGGCTCTGCAGACTGGCGGCAGCTCATGGATGCTGACGCGTACCAAGTCCTCAACACAGCGCTCATGCTGTGTGGTTAAGGGCACCCCGCACGTTGGCATCCCACATGGGCACTCCTTGTGCTGGCTCTCTGCTTCCTACCTGGCTGCTCATTGACGCACCTGGGGAGAGCATCGACAGATGGCCCACACAGGAGAACCAGAAGCAGCTCCTGGCCCAGGCCTGGCTGAAGCAGTCCCTGGGGTCTGAACCAGCAGAAGGAAGCTCTCGCTGTGGCTCTCCTCTTCTCTCTATAACTCTTTTAAATAAATCACCCTTAAAAATGAATCCTGAATACAACCACACACACCTCCCAGGGGAGGTGTGATGCAGAGTGGACCCTGTGCTAGCTGGGTGAGTCTGCACCCAATTCTCCCCCTGCTTGCCCTCCCCACCCCAGCAAGACCAGAAGAGCAGAGGTGGCCTGCTGCTGCCACCTGCACGGTCACTCTGGGAAAGCCTTGGGTCACAGGAAGCAGCTCAGCCAATCAAGGTGTGCGGGGGGCTGCAGCACAGGAGCTCCCTATGGAGATGTATCGCTGGGAGGATGGACTTGCTTTGCAGGCAAGGCAGGCAGAGAGCAGGTGCCAATGACTCGAGGCTTACTGATCTCATGAGAGATAAAGCTCCCGTGTGCTCATCTCCCCAGCGCCCTCCCAGCTGGGAATGGCTGGGACTAGAGCCAGGAGCAGGGACTCCATCCCAATCTCCCCGATGGGTGGCAGGAACCCAGGTGCCTGACTCACCTGCTGCCTGCCAGGAGGGTCTGCGTGAGCAGGAAGCTGAGGCCAGGCCTGGAACTTGAATTCCAGTAACCCGATCTGGCACGTGGGCATCTGCATTTTTAAAAATACTTTTTTTAAGGGCCCAGCATGGTAGCCTAGTGGCTAAAGTCCTCGCCTTGCATGTGCCAGGATTCCATATGGGCACCGGTTCTAATCCCAGCAGTCCTACTTCCCATCCAGCGCCCTGCTTGTAACCTGGGAAAGCAGTCGAGGATGGCCCAAAGCCTTGGGACCCGGCACCCGTGGAGGAGACTCAGAAGAAGCTCCTAGCTCCTGGCTTCAAAATGATTCAGCACCGGCCCTTGAGCAATGCATCAGTGGACAGAAGATCTTCCTCTCTGTCTCTCCTCCTGATATCTGACTTTCCAATAAAAACAAATCTTTAAAAAAATAGTTTTTTATTTGAAAATCAGACTTTGACAGAGTAGGAAAAACAGAAAAAAGTCTTCCATCTGCTGGCTCACTCCTCAAATGGCTGAAACAGTCAGAACTGAGCTGATCCAAAGCCAGGAGCCAGGAGTTTCTTTCGCGTCTCCACACAGGTGCAGGGTCCCAAGGCTTTGGGTCATCCTCAACTGCTTTCCCTGGTGACAAGCAGGAAGATGGATGGTAAATGGGGCTGCCAGGATTAGAACTGGTACCAATATGGGATCCCAGTGCCGCCGGCAGAGGTTCAACTTACTATACCACTGTGTGAGACATGGACATCTTAACTGGCCTCTTAACAGAAAGGCCAAATGCCCACCCCAAATTATTCAATTTTTAGAAATTCTGTGAGATATCTAGCAGTTACTCCAAACTATTGATGGTTTGAAACCAGACACTGCAGGAACAGTGACGAGACAAAGCGGCTGAAGCTACAGACCAGGGAGGCAGGGGCTGCAGGTTCCCTCGGTGGGACCTGAGCTGACTATACCAGGCCAGACCACCACCTGCAAAGCTGGTATCCCAGATGGGTACCAGGTCGAGTCCTGGCTGCACCACTTCCAACCCAGCTCCCTGCTAATGTGCCTGGGAGAGCAGTGCGACTGGACATGACCCAAGTGTTTGGTCCAGCTTTCAGGAAACGAGGTAGAGAAGCTGGGGATGCAAGGAGCTCTTGTAAGAGGCTGACCAGAGCAGACACATGGACTGGCTGGCAGGGGATCCGTTCCCTAATGCGCCTGGGCTTCTAGAAGGTTTTCCCTGCTTAGACTTAGCACAGCACCTCAGATTCCCATTATGACGCTAGTACCGGCGCTCACGGGGCTCCCCATCGGGCTCCCAGTGGCCTTCAGCCACTCCCTGGCCTGGCCCCTCCCGCCTCCCACTGAGGTGCAGCTGGGCAGGAGAGCAGTGCGGCGCTGGGGGGAGAGCTCAGGAGAGATGGGGTGCCAGGGCAGAAGGCACCAGTGGGGAGTGGGTGCATACAGGCAAGAGAAGGGCAGCCCTGTTCCCCCTGCCAGGCTGTAGGTCCTTGTTTGAAGACAGTTGTGACTGTCCACAGCCTGCCTCTCACACTGGGCTCACACAGACACCTGCTACTTGCACATCCATCAGGGCAGACAGTTCCCCTGAAAGATCCTGACCACGAGCCAAAACAAAGATGGCAAACAGCTAAAGACCGCACCCCAGGGGGTTGCTGCACCACACTGTTGCTCAGGGAGGCCACAGTGAAGCTCACTAGTTCAGACTCAGATTAGGTGGACGGGGTGGGGGGCACCCTCGGCAGCAAGCTTCTCATCAGTCAGCCCCCACTAGGACTGCTGACCCTCATGGCCTCGAGTCTCCTCCAGGTCCGTGGGCCCAGGCAGCTCCTCTGGGACCCACAGCCCATGGGCTTGCTCTAACCGTGAGAAACAGCTGGGAGTGTCCCAAGGCCAAGAGGAACACTCTTCTGAACCCGGCGCCAACCACGAGGGGCGTTCACCGCAAGTTCCGAGGGACCAGGTGCTCGGGCCTCCCCTCCAGGCTCCCACCCCAAGGTGCACACCTGGGGACCCTGCCCTGCTCTGACAGTGGGCCGCGTATCCACTCCCCAGCGGTGCCGAGCATCCATCCTTGCCCTCATGCCCTGGACTCAAGTCCTCACTGAAAGTGGTCGTTCGAGACAAGTCAGGTCAACTCTTCCACTGGTATCTCAACCAGCCCTGGTCTGCTCCTGGGCAACCTCCTCCTCCACGACTCTTCCTTCCACTCTTGAGACGCTGCCTCTCTTTGGGGGAGTGACACCTTAGCCAAGGTTCGTGCGGTACTGGCTTGGTCCACCCCACCCCAGTATCCACGGTTACTTCTCTGACTAAAGCAGATGACACTTGCGCTACACAACACCACATATGGGCATGGCAACTGTTACCAAACAGCAAGGGGGAAGACACCCATCAGCTTCAAAAACCAAACCAGAGCAGCAGACTGCCTGGGGCCTGGACTACAGGGACTGCTGGCCCCAGGGGGCGACACCAAACTCAGGCGAGGGTCACAGGTGGACGTGACCCAAGACCGCAGACCCGTGTGCTCTGGGACAGTCACGTACTGACTCCAGGTCACACTATCGTCTCCCGGTCATCAAGCACTGGCTAGTTAGCATCAATGGGACAAGCTTTAAGCACAGAACAGGCAATACTGCAGGGCACTTCAACAGTCACTTAGTGGAGAAGCAATTGGAAGCTTCTGGGAAGATGTAACACCTGAACACAAACCCCGGCTTCCTAAACAGGCTCTAAACGGCTAAGTTGCAAATCATGACTAGTCTAAATCTTTTGCCATTCACAGTGTGGTTTTTTTTTTTTAAAGATTTATTTATTTTTATTGAAAGGCAGATATACAGAGAGGAGAGTCAGAGAGGAAGATCCTCCATCCAATGGTTCACTCCCCAAGTGAGCGCAACAGTGGGTGCTGCACCGATCCGAA